CATCTGCACTCATAATCCATATGTTCGCTTGTAATTTGAGAATTATACCTCATTATGCTGCATACATTAAAAACCACATAATTATCCTATGTAAAAATTAACAAAACTTAAAAGTCATGCGAACATGTTTCATTTATAATTTAATATAATATGATTTTTATAGTGATTTTCTTAATCAAATACTTTTTATTACCATGTATTCTATAATTTGTATCGTGACTTTATAAATAATCTTTGATAGATTTTCTTTGCTTGAATGAACTACTTTAAAGCGTTCAACCGTGCCTTATCGATTGGCCTTAATCCAATACACTTGCAAGTTATAATTTTACAAAAGCATTTATATAATATGATAAACTAACTATATAGGTACTTTGTTTTTAATTATATTACTATGTACTATTATAGAGATTATAATATTATGATGTATTATTACCTCATATCATTATGTGCCAAATATAGTTTATCCAATTATTTTGAGAAGAATTCTACTCAGTATAAATGGATAACTTATATTATTCATTCAGCCACCAGGTTATTACTTATTTGTTGGTTACAATTTTAAAATATATTAATATCCAAAACATTTGTAAATTCTGCCAGTATAATTAATTTATTGATGTTTATTAATTGTTTCGTCCATGTCTAAGTTCAACAGAACCATGACGAAGTAAATAGGTATGATCACAAATTCACAACAAACGGAATTTTGTTCATGTCTTTGCAAAACGGAATGGGAGACTTTGACGTCTTCTGATTAGTGAAAACAGTAAAAATGCCAATCGGAAACGCCTTTTAGGGATCTAAGTGATCTAACTAATGCGTACATACCTGCGATTAGCGCCTCCTAGTATTTGTTACTCAACTCGTATGCTCCGGATGCAGAGCCACGTCCAATTGCTACAAAAACCGTATATTAAAGCCATTTTTCTATACTGTTTCACCAACTACAAATCATAGTATTAATTGCATATTTAGTTAAATTTTAAAAGAAGTTTATAGACACAATATTATTATTATTCACAGGATTAGATGCGTATTACCTAAGTGGAGCTCAATATAGGTAATAGATATATCTCATCTAACACCTGTATGAATCTTACTTGTAAGCAATATTTGATTCTAGCAATAAATATTGTTATAACTAATCTTATAATAGCAGTGTGATGCACAAAGATAACAATGTTTTTTTTTGAGATTTTTGCGAGTCCGATATGCGCGTGTAAAAAAATGTTATACAATTTATTCTGAGCAAAAAAATTCATCCCGATAACGCATATAATTTTTAATAATAATTATTATTCATGATGTAAAATATAAAATAAATTATTTGATTATTTTGAATTAAAAAAACATTTATAACTAAAATAAAAATATATACCTAACTAGCGTGTGTCCAAAATTTAAATGTACGTATTTTTTTACTTAGGTATTTGTATTTAGTTATAGGTATTCTTATTTATTTTGGTGGATTTTTTCCATTTCGATCTTTACATCATTCGTTGTATTTACAATTATATTACGACACATCCATTTTTACAGAAGTCTTATGTTCAATCCTCAAATGTACCTTTAAAAGATAAAATTGACCTTCTTATACACTGTATCGGTAGCTTATCAGTTTAATTATTTCACATCCATTAGTCATTATCTCCTAAATTAAATTTAAAAATCATTAACCTTCAATATTGTTATTATGGGAACCTACTATCTATACTCCAATAATTCAATTCTAATTGGTAGGAAATATTTGTCGGTTTACCTTGAAAACAAAAATAATATTATAATAATTGGTGATTCATATATTGAGTTGTTTAGTTTTTGTACTACATTAACTGCGGATTAAAACTTCTATATAAAAACGTATCTTTAACAACAATACGAAGTACGATAATAATACCATGGGCCATCAACATGCCATATTAAAATTTGATACAAAAAAATGTTTAAATTTTCAAAGAATTCCATAAATTTAAGAGGTACCTACAATAAAATTAAATATCTCATATAGTATTATCTTGGTAATGCCTTACATAATGTTAAACAGACATTTAATTAAAAAATGCATACACCATATAGTAATAAAAACTTACAAATAATAGGGTTTTAAAACGCTAGAAGGGATAAACCGTTTTGTTAGGTCACTAGTTTCAGAAACTTCATGTGCCCACCATAACACAGACGACGTGTAACGATTATAGATAACAAAAATTACGGGTATCTGGCTGTCACTCAGCAGCATACGTCATATCTTTAGATCGCCCGAGGAAGCCATTTGAATTATTTTTAAAAACGAAAGGAGATTTGAACATAATTAAACCACTAAGATAAGAGAATTCGATGGGTAAATTAGATATTCAGATTAGATGTGTGTAAGTCATTTTTGATTTATTGGTTTTGGATTTGCAATTTCTATTCATTTTCAAATAGCTAAATTAATTTGAATCAACATGAATATCCAAAGGTTTTAATTTATAATACTTTAACTGATTACTATCAGTAGGCAGTAGGTATAGTTATTTACCAGATTTGAGAGTGTACCAAACATTTTTTTATTTAATGTATGTATTCAATACATTTATTTTTCTATATCATAAGTAATTTAACTGACAACGTACATATAAGTAGGTATTTGATAAAATAGCCATAGTCAAGTCTAAAAAATATTTCAGAATCTTGGCGAGTGGAAGCGAGGTTGTGTCCGATAATTTATTATTTTGGTTTTAAATGTCAGTTTCAAAATATAACGCTTACTATTTATTTACACAGTCGTGAAAAACAAATGAATTTGGAATTTCATTACATTAAAGATAAAAATACATACGATTGTGGTGGTGATGTTGATATCTGATCGAGTTAGTAAATGATACGACGATCCGTATTCTGTGTTAAAAATTACATGACAAGTCGGTAATAAATCAGTTATAATAATAAATAATGGCCGATAAACGCATTTGCATGTTCAAAAAGCTACAAAGGCCGAAAGCCGACCCGAACTAATCGTTTCAACGTTTTAAATCATTTTGTTTCCACCATATCTCAAAATAAAACTTGAAAAAAAAATACACTGCTCTACCATCATACCTACTATTATTATAGTAATGTGTATAATATGTAACTCCGCGTGATCTAGAGTTTAAAGATTTAGAGTAAAGATAAATGTTTCACAGTCAAAAATTTGAATACTGACATTTTTATCACAACGGACACTCTGATATTTTTAATTATATGAATTTATTATTTCTAACTTGTCGGTTGGTATGGTTACATTTTGGTTATTATGAAGATTAATGGACGGACATAGCGTATAGGTATTTTATAAACATATACCTAATTCCATAAAAGACACATAGATATTTGGTCAGTAGTTTCGAAAAATAAATATTTTAAGATTGAAATGAAACATAAAAAAATATACCACAACCACAGTATCAAGACCTAAATAAGTTTTATTAAATTTGTTTTTAATATTATAACTGTTAAAAAAATGTATTATACTACTTATATATTCTACAATTATTATACATAATAGAACAATACATTAATACGTCGTAAATCGTAATATTATGTTCACGTTTTTTACTGTATCGACCTATTGACCACGTCATAATATTATAACATTTTGCATGAACAGTAGTCATATAAGTAGGTACATATTATATAAATAGTAGGTATATATCTCAATATCTAAATGATTTGATAATTATTGAAATAGCAATATTATCATCAATATAGCCAGATATACACACTACATAATATAACACGAATTCTATTATTCTCGTAGAATTTAATACAAAATAGAAATAAAATATATTTTGTAATTTTTATAATACAAATATAAATATTTTATGAATTATGTATTATGTGAACCAATAACTTTAAGGAATACGTTACACTATTTTAATTTTATTGTAGTAATCATGTCACATTATTGACTTGTTCCTAACCAATAGACATTACAAAATTATCTAGAGCTAATTAAAAATATTTATATGCAAACTAAAGAGAGTTAAGGAAATTGGAATGGTCAACATACCTACTATAGGGTAACTATTTAAAAAAATTAAATTGTAAGTATTGACAATTTATCTGAAATGTAAATTAACTAGGTGTTTGATTTTTAAATTAAAAATTATATATCTTCCTACAATAGACTCGTGTCTCATTTAGTATCATGGAGTACGTTGGGTCAGGGATTAATTTCACGGTAGCTTAAACACTAATTTTTAATGATACAGTTATGACTACCTCATGCATTAAAATGTATAATTTTTAAATTAAAGCTAATGTCGAACACAAAGTTTGCAAAAATGATTATTGGAGAATGTTTCATTGCACAACGAAGAGTAAAGACCTTACATAATATAAGCCGTTTTATTTCTTTAACACGAAGTAAAGGATTCATATTGGGGTCCATTTGGCATTTAGGGTCCGTTCACTGTTCATTATTTCACCGAACAGTAGGTATTGCACCTAATTATAATTAATGCGCATTATTTATTTATCCTTGCGCATTGTGTTAATATTATACAAATACCTATGTAATTTTTGAAAAATGACTAATTACTTAACCTAGACTAGCATTAATATTGGCTGAGAAATTGAAAATTAAAATAATACATCTATTTATAACCACTGCTGTGTCATAGTGGAAAATGCACTCATAACTTTTGAATTTACAATCAATAATATTATATGTTTTAATTTTAATCGAGACTCCACTATAGTGTGTAAAGCGTTGTGTCGCAAATAATTCAAAAATTACCCTGTGGTTCGTCTGGTGTGAGATCAGCCTTATTCCACCTGAACGTTTGTACATACATCTATATGCACACACACACAAGAACGTGCACACACTACCATATATATATATACTTAATATTATATACGTATTCGTTTTATTGCCGACCGGCATATATATTGTACCTATATATTATTATATATATTTTTTTTCTTCTCTCAAAACCTTTTTACAATCCTTCTCTCCATCCTACCTGCGTTGTACGTCTGTCTCCGTCGCCTCTTAAAAACCACCGGCAGGCGGTCTTTTCACCCCGCTCTTATCCCCACACCAGAACCGGGCACCGGCCGATTAATGCATGTGCGTGTACGCCGAGATCTCGATGACTTAAAAAATACTTCTTTGTACCTATGTGTGTGTGTGTGTGTGTGTGTGTGTGTGTGTATATTATCATCCGGACGACGATGATGATAATTTATAAGAAATCAATCCCGGGTAAAGAATGGACGATGTGTTTGGACATGGGTTCTTGATGTGAGCAAGAGAAGTAGGGAGAAGGGAACTCCCGATTTTTATCTAAAACAAAAAAACACCACTATACGACGGAGATGAAAAAAAAAACCACAAATCGTCTGTATTCATACATGACCGCTAACCATCGTTATTTATACAGAAGAAAAAAACAAGATGGATGCTGGCATAGGGCCGAATCGATCGAGTATGAATGTATGATATTGCGACATAAGTGAATTCATACATGCCTACCAAAAAATATATGACGATTGACGAGAAACCTATTAATTAGTAAGTCTAGTCAAAACTATTTCGTCAAAACTATTCAAATATTGATTATGTTTTTGACAAATATATGAGAAATATTTTCATATTTAGCTTCAGCTCTTCGTAAGAAATACGAATAATAATAATGCATTAATTCTTTCTTGTACGTTTATATAATTACAAAAATATGAGAATTAATTATTGTCCTATAAGTCGATAACCTGTTAAGCAATAGGAATTAATAGAAGTTAGCTGTTTTAACGTTTTGAATGCAAATGTTAAATTCATATAATTTTATAATATGCTTATATGCATATTATTTTTTTTTTCACATAAATATATCCATAGAGCCATACAGTAGTTGCATAACGTTTTCATTCAAAAAATAAATGTATCTAAAAGTTTGTTCTTAAGTTTATTATTCATTAGGTAATTTATTACTATATATTTATTTTCTAAAATAAAACTTATCATTGGTCATTCCATAGTATCGAATATATATTTCATATGAGTTGTATTTACATTTTTAAGACTACATTTATTACAATGATGATTTTAATGAAATTTCTAGAATTGTGAAAAATACTAAAATTTATATTTACGTAAATATTTGTAATATTTGTAATAACTTATAATAAATAATTTAATAAATTAAATGATTTCAGAAAAAATGTATTCATATCGAACATATTTCGCCATATAGATAAAATATTAAGATCCCTTCATTTTTAAATGTAATTACCACATACCTACAAACTAATTCCATGAAATATGAATACAATTTGATACAACATTTTTTTTTTAAATTCTTTATGTTCTTACTTTATGAATTTATTGAAAAGTCTAATATCGGTTTTTAAACCGTAAGTGTATAAATAAATAAGTATCATTGAATATGTACCTAAATAAATTATTTCTTGAACTGTAAAGGACTGATAATTTTCTGACTTGGTATGAACTCATGAGTTATGAGTATAATTGAACTTATTTTATTTTACCCTTAGGTATTATAGGTAGGTATATGCTACTATACTAGGTATATGAATATAGGTATACTAGTATATATTATACATCTAAATATTACTCTTTAGCCTTTATGTTTATGTTGGACATTACATAAGATAATGTTATGTTTGTTATAGAACTGAAAACTACCTGTATAATATAATATGTCCACGTAGGACTCCACTATGGTCATTGATCAGTCATCAGTGTAGCCGGTGAGACTTCTACTAGAGAGTATTAGGCACAGGTATCTCTACTCTGATACATAAGCTGCTGGTTCAATGGTGCCATGTGGGGTATACAGGTAATGATATTTAAAAATGATTGTATAGTGTATGGTTATTCGATTCACTGGCACAGTTCACATATCAGTCAGAATAATAATATTATGTTATTTTCAGATTTGAAAAGAATTTCTTTACAGCGTCATCCGTGTTGATTGTGCTTTATTTTTGGATAAACAAAAACTTGTTTGAGTCTTGGATGTAAGTATGTTGAATAATTGATGACATCAGTGAACGACTGTATGAGAAAACTAAATAATATGTGTACCAACACACTGATACTTATAACTTAAGAGAATTTATAATTTACATGTACCTATTGATTGTATACTTTGTTTTATGAGTAAAAATACATTGGTAATTTATTAGCAAAGTACTTTGGTAAACAGAACTTTCTGCAGAAGATTTTTACTCAAGCATGTTATTTGGTACCTATAATCATACCATGGATAGAAAATGCCAATATACCTAAATATAAATTGGACAATTTCAAGTATCTACGGTTGTTGGTTTTTAAATTACATTAAAATAAGAAAATCTATTTTGTCAAACACGGGCTTACTTAAAAATTCCCGTTTTTCATAATTTGTTTTTAATAATTATTAAGAAAAGTACTTGGAATTTTTACTTTTGACCCTCTAAAATGCTAACTAGATTCATTTTCCTGCCGGAAATGATATTTAAGTTGATTATCGTACCATTACGTCCACTACAAGAAGTGTCCTTAGCCAAAAAAAAACTCACCAATTAGAGTGTACAATCATATTTTATAATAATCTAAATAGTATATTGTTGTATAATTTTGAAAACGCAAAAAATAATGTTAAATTGATTGTTTTAACTTTTAATATCATGTTATATTTTGTATTTATTCGTTTATTTTGGTATTTAAATTTAATCAGTATTTATTATTTTCGGTATTCATAAAAAGTGGATTATAAATCATTATGAAAATTTTATCATTAAAATCTGTCTACTAGAAAATTTATACAACAGGTACTCCGCGCCGTACGGCCTATTTTATATATTATACTCCTGCAATGGATAACCGTGTTATTACCTATACATATATCTATACATATATATATATATATATATATATTACTGAAACCATTATATTATGTTGCATGTTTTCTTAAACGAAATAGCTTGATAATGGGATAAAATAAATATTTTACAACAATCTCGACGATAATTTCGACCAATTATTTATATAAAACATTTTTACATCATTATGTTTCTAATATACAATTTTCTCGGAGGTGAACGTTTTCATCGATATAATTTATCTTCTATTTGGAATTCATTATAATAAATATTAGTATAAAAGAAAGGTAAACATGGTATTGAAAAGTTGACAGTAGATTACAGTGCATAATTGGTTTATGAATAGAAATCACAATCCATGATTAGATTAATAAATTAGATAAATTTATAATAATAAATACATACATGATTTAATACCGTTTGTTCATATTGTAAATATTAATTCCACGCTAGTTGATACACATGATTTATATAATTAAACAAATTATCAATAAATCAGCTGAACATTTTTAAATTGTCTACGGTTTCCAGCATACTTATGTACTATTTGTTTCGTTAAACGATTTAATGTTTCAATTTAATTAATTATTAACTAATATCACGAAGTTTAGTAGATGAAATAGACTATAATCAGTCGATATCTAGTATTATAGTAATTATATCTACTTGGCTTCATAATGATATATTATGTTGAATAAATATAAATTTCCCAATTGTTTTGCTAGTATTTTAGTTATAGCAGTACAGTAAAAATATTTTTCAACTGTAAAAAAGACTAATAAAAATAATAATAAAAAACATTATATATATTATTTATAAAATACATTTATCAATATTGTATAATATATTATCTCTATGTGCTATGCAGGCCATACAAATGAAGTTTTTTTAACATTTAAAAATTATAATTAAAAATTTTCTTTAATTTTAGATTCTGAGTGAAGCAATGAATGTATTTGTATTGATTTTACAATAATTCTTAAAATTTATTCTAACATCTACTATTGTCATAAACATTTTTTCGATTTTGTCCGGATCAGGAACTAGAGCTTCGTGTAGGCAGTAAGCTAATTTGAGATTGATTCTGATGTCACTGTATTACTGATTATACTGATATTACTGAGATTATGACCAATAATGGAAACTAGGCGGATAGATCTGAAACTAGTGTTACTCTCTTCAACTCTCGGTAAATTTATGAAAAATATGAAGTTTATGCTAAATGACTTATAATTTCGATAAAAATACTATTAGCATTTTATTTCAATAGCTTAGTAAGTCTTAAATCTTAATACTTTTGTTCAGTGAAAAATCAGATTTCTCAGTGAATAGAAGTATATTTAATAGCTATAACCTATAAGTATATAATAATTTTATAAAGAAAATTAATATAATTATAATATATTATGCATATTGTACCTATATAGGTTTGTAGATAAATGGTATTTGAAGGGTTACATTACTAAATTTTCTGAATATTAATGTAAAATTAGCATACAAATGTTTGTGTAAATTATTTAAAATTAAAAATTTGATTATTAAAATTGAAATCCTACATTTTCACTTTGCAATAAAATGCTAATACAAAGATTGCGATCATTAATCCTTTTCCATAATTATTAACTCGTCATCAACGTTGAAACGATGTTGGTTTGTACCTACAGCATACGTTTTATTTATTTTTTATTATCTTCCTTAGATTTGTTTGGTGATTAACATTTGAAAGCATCCCCGAATTATAAAATTATTACCTTGTCATTAAAACATCCGTTTTACGATCACTAATATTTTTTTATTTAATTTTTTCATATGCCCGTATATCCCCGTACAATCGTAAATTGTTTACTTTATTAACCTTTCTGCTCTTAGTCCCCTCTTTTCAAACATGCACCTGAAAATAGCAGAACAGGAAACAACATTTATTTATGGATTCATTTATACTTGGATCTTTGGAGTTTCTTTATACTGAATTTCGAATATTATTTCTGAAAAGTATGACAGTTGACAATAATAAAAAAATATTTTATTTTAGTATCAAAACATTGTTCTTCCATCTTCGGTTCACTATCATCTAGTATATTTATTAATTTATTATTAATAACAATATAATAATTATTTGAATTCCAAAACTTGAATATAAATTATTACTTATTAGTTACCTACTAGAATCTACAGCTATTAGATTCAAAAATCAAATGGGCTATTTGAAAAAATATACCTCGGATAAACGAGTTCGTATGATTCTTTGTAATTAATGTGACATATTTTAAACATCTATTTACAATTATTTGGAAGTCTTTGTGGTGTGATTATTTACACTACATGTCTACATAAGTATATTATTATTTTTATGGAACTCATTGACCCAACCTTGAACCTAAAATACATCTGACACAAATAATTGCAATCTAATTAATTATCAATATGTAACTCGTTTATGATATGACACGGGTTAGTTAAATTACTTATGTTCCAGCCAAGAAACATCTGTTTATTTTCCATTTTTTAAATATATTTGTTTGCTAACTGCATTGATTAGTTGTTACTAAATATATATGCAATACTAAATTGTATAATATATTTTAGCCTATATCTTCTATTCTATTTCTATAGGTACTTTGTACTATACATTATTTTGATATCTTTATCTTCAAATATTCGTATTACTTTAACCTAGTTCTGATAGTTTTTGGAAATATCCAGAGGACACCTAACACCTTGAAAATACATTTATAACATGACTGGTGCACTCAAGATTCAGGATGATTAAATTATTCGAGTTAGATTTTACAAAGATTATAATATTTATAAATTATGATCAATTGAATTTCATTGGTCTCTGTAAGTTTTATATGAATTATAAACTTATTTTCAACCCTCAACAGTATAGATACGTGCAACGTGCTTATGTCACGTCACGATAATATCTTTAGTAACATACCTATAGATACTAGAAGTTTCTTTGTTATAACACAGATACTGAGTTTATTGATTTTTATTAGTTTTTGATGAATTGTTCAAACAAAAAAAAAAACAAAAAAAAATAGGCACAGGTCAGAAAGCGCGGGATCCGTTTCGCCCGGGTACCCGCTTTGCCCAAATTTTGTTTTTATATGATTTCCGTTTCGCCCAGAGTTCTCTCACAAATGGCTCTGCTCACAAGTCACAAGTAAATCATATTTTCTACAGAACAAACATCGTATTTTAAAATTTAAAATTTAAGGTTACGTCGCCGGCCTATAAAACAAAAAAAAAAATATTACAATTTTTACATTAAATTATATTCACTAAAGAAGCGACCTATAAAAGTGCCGTTCTATTTATGTATATATATATATATATAATTATAGACTGATAAATATTTAATAAATGTACGTTCTATGTAGGTACTAGGAAGATAAAATCAAATTGTTAGCTTTTTTTTTTAAACTATAATGACGATGTACATTTTCGAGAAATATAGACTTCAAATTCGTTATGAAAATCAATTATATAATGTATTTATACTTAATAGACTTACGTATACTAAATAATAAATATGATTTGATGGTATAATAAATTATCAAAAAGAGATTTAAGACCAAACGAAAAACATTAAAACTTAAATTTCGTAAATCTGTACTTTTCGTACCTATCGTTGGTGTCAATCGAAATAAAGACTGATAGTCCAGGCAAATTAAATAAAATAGCGGAAAAAAAAGCTGGAAAGCTGCATTTTGGTATACACCTTTATTGAAGGGTACTAAGTAACATACTAAAAGTCCCCTAAGATTTGATGACCGCTACCTCCGCTAGAGCGCGCTTTGTGCAAGAAAAATCAGTTTTTCTCAAATAACTCGGTTGTTATTAAGATTATAAGAAAAATACCTATATACTATATTATAGAAGAGGTAATTACCTATAAAAAATGTACTTACAATATATTTCGTGGGATTAATATTTACCTTGATAATCGGACATCCAATATTATAGAATTGGTAATTTCTGTCTTACGGCGTCCGTTTTGTGTTATTCTATCCATAAAACCACTCCAATTAGGAATATTAATTAATGTCAAGTGTTTACCACACATCCAAATTAAATCCCAGGTTTGTGTTAATGAATTATAATCACTAATTTTTCCTAGTCTTGATAAATCTTCTAAAATAATTTTTGTAAAACCCATTTTTCCTTCTTTCTCAAATGTTTGAAATGCAATTTGATGTATTGTACCTATTTTACTTGATGGTATAATTGATTTTAATCGATTTATCGGACCATTCGATTTTACAAACTGTTTTGGTGTAATACAACGTATACCACCCATAGAATGAAACGTATTTAAACCATCTAATGTATTAGTATTATGATCCGCATTATCGAAAACATACTGACAA